TGGCAGCAGCATCTCTGTTAAGTACCACATCAACTGCCATCTCAGAGTGCCCAATTTTGATTAAATAAATTGAAAACAGCATCTATAATTAAAGGCAGCAAAAGGTTAGATCTTGATAAACTTGTAAAGTGTCATTTTCAGCCTTGGAGGGTCAGGAAAAGCTGTTGAAACAGCTGCAATGCAGAATAAGGCCATTCTAAGCCTTCGACCTGACCAAAAGCTTTCAGAGCTCCCCCCCCCATCATCCCCCACTAGAGCCAGGGAATGAAAGCGACGTTGTGACAGGCCCCTCGCAAATTACAGAGGACCTGAATCCTGTAAGCAACCTGCAACGGGATGGCTTCTCTCTGACGGACTGGGTTGGGCTGAAGAAACATCAGGTCTAAGAAAGATGGTGGTATCAGGGGTTGCTTGCCTTGAACTTGTATAAATAAAGGTGGGACATTTGTTATATCTAATTTATAGGACTCTGGACTCTCAAGTCACTGTGGATGGCCTACAATTAGGAACCAAAATCTAATAAGAATTTTTAAAAGAAATAGTGAGGATCTTCCTTCTATAACAGTATTGTTTCTCGCTCCCCCCAAAAAAAAGATGAGCTTGTGAAGCACAAATCTTCTTTTGCATTCTCTGGCTTTTCCATTTTCCCTAATTGTGGAACCGAAACTCATTGGCCACCCAATCCATTTCCATCCATCATACTCAGTGGGTAGGTCAGGATGGGATGGCCTTGGTTCTCACTTCAGCAAAGGTGGAATCGTGAAGGTATGAAATTCTGCAGGTAATTCATTGATAAATCACAGTGGTGGCAATAAAACAAGTCATCTATCATACTCTCTTTCCATCATGATGTCAGGAAGGCAGATTTTCAGGAAAATGAAGAAATCAAATGTGGGCTTTATTTCCTAGAAGGACACTGTGTGCCCGAGTATCTTCTTGAGAGGTCTGTCACAACTCGCCGCAGGACAAGTGTTACACTAATATCGAAGAAATAGAGGAATAGAATCATTAAAGAAAGGAGGGACAGAATGAAATTTAAATAACAAAAATTAAAATGTTTTAATTATTTTAAATAATTAAATTTAAATTAAAGTGAGTTGTCCCATGGTGAGTTGGCTGTGGCAAATTGGCTGCAGCAAATTTTCCCATTCCACTTCTTGAGCTCCTCAGAATAGTATTATGATTTTGAAATTCCAGGGCATAATTTTTTAAAGCCATAGACGCAAGTAAGTGAAGCTTCTGTGTCTTGTGATGCCTGTGAATGACTAGGGACGTTGCAGGTGGTGTAGAGTATTCTGTGCCTGCAAGTGAATGACCCCAAGAATGAAAATCTGACCTGAGCACAATTGGTGGAACAAATTCCATACTCCTTTCAAGAGATCCTGACAAAGCCAAGCACCTCCAGGAGGAAGAAGCAAGAGATCCATGCTCTTCTGTGCAGGGAAGAAAGGAAGACGAAGGAGGCCAGCATCATGCAGGGGAGAGCCAGAGTCAGCCTTTTTCTCCCTCTCTGTACTCTACTCCCACCCTGAAGTCAGCAGAAGTGCTAAAGACTCACCACCACTGCATTTTAAGGGCTCAGCTGATGAAAACCAATGGTAGCAGCACATGAAGGGATCTCTTTACATTCACAATGTGTAGCCGAGTAAAGCAAATGTCCCTATTTTGACTAAAAATGGAGGAAAATAAGATAAAACCTGGAATCAGAACTAAAAGATGATCATATTGCCTGGATACTGCTGGGTACAGTGGAGGGAAGCAGCTTAGACTTCCCTCCTCTTCTGGGTCAGATACGGATGGAAAATAGATGGGCTTTGCTTCCTTCCTTAAGCCAAGAAGCTCGATGAAAACATGGCATTTTCAGGAATAATTTCAAAAATAGTTCCAAAGAAATTTCCTCTGTTCTCCCAGAAGACTACTTCCCCATTTGTAGATCTCAGGCTTTGAAGCATCTGCCAATACTATGGAAGATTTAGAGCCTTTAAACAAGTGAGCAATGCCTTTTTGTTCTCAAAACACACTGAACATGGGATCATAGGGTTGGAAAAGACCTTGGGAGTCTTCTAGTTCAACCCTCTGCTTAAGGCATGAGACCTTATACTAACCTGGTCAAATGGTTGCCCAGTTTAGTTTTGAAAACTTTCACTGATGGAGCACCCATAACTCTGGGAGGCAGACTGTTCCACTGATTGCCAGAAAATGTCTCTTTAATTCTAGGTTGGATTTCTCTTTAACAAGCTTCCACCCATTACTTCTTGTTCTGCTCTCTTATGCTTTAGAGAATAAATCAGTCCCCTCTTCTCTGTGACAGACCCTCAAGTACTGGAAGAAGAGTTATCAGGTTCCCCTGCCCAACCCTCCTCTTTGATAGGTTAGACATACCGTACCATCTAGCCCGCAGACCCTTATCATCTTTGTTACTCTTCTCTGCATTCTTTCTAGTGTCTCAACATCTTTTTTGCATTGTGGTGACCAGAACTGGACATAGTATTCCAAGTGTGCTCTCACCGGTGGAATATAAATTGATATCATCACTTCTTGTGATGTTGATGCTATTCCTCTGTTGATGCAGCCTAGGTCCGCATTGGCTTTTTAGGCAGCTGCAGCCCATTGCTGACTTATACTTAAGCAGTGGTCCAGTAGGACACCTAGATCTGTCTCTCTCTCAGTTACTACTGTTGAGTCAGGTACCACCTATTCTGTACCTGTACAAGAGAAATTTCTCAACAGAGAGAACAATTAATCAGTGGAATAGCTTGCCAACACAAGTTGCGGGTGCTCCATCATTTGAGCCTTTCAAGAAGAGATTGGACAGCCATTTGTCTGGAATGGTTTAAGGTGTCCTGCTTGAGAAAGAGGTTGGACTAGAAGACCTCCAATGCCCCTTCCAATTCTGTTATTCTATATTTTGCTCTGAATCCTTGATCACAAGGAGACCTGACTTGCCACTACCAAAAACTCTGGATTTTGGTGGGCCTGGTCGAATGTTCTTGAATCCCACTCTGTGAGATGGAGTTGTTTCTAACTTTTTTTAAAGGGCCAAGCAACCTTAAGTGGAATGCTGAGGAACTAAACCTAAAAACAGGTGAAAGAAAACAATTTTAGTAAAGCAGATTGGACTATCAGGATTGTTCTTTTCAGGACATGTTTTCAGTGCTGCCCCCTGCTGGCTGAAAAGGGATTCGAACTTTTGGACATGAGAAACAGTTGCAGACATTTAAATGAAAGCTTTATTGGGTTTTTACATGCACTCCTTCCGGGGATGCTTGTTCTTTGATTTGACATACCATCTGTGGTTTTCTTACCTTTGTCTTATTGTCCAAGCAGTGGTAGGTTAGGCAGAGACCATAAGTCCCAGTTTACAAGCTATAAAGGCGTTCATTCAACAATGAAGTCAAAATCACCCAAAAGGTATAATGGCCAAAAGGTATAATTCAAGGCACAACTACAGCCGCTTCCTTTTGTTTGCTCAATGCCCATATCTAACCTCCTTGCAGTGAAATGTTTTGTTTCCAAGTTGGCATGCTTGGACTTGGACAAGCCACCTCACCTGGCAAAGTGTTTTCTTCTGGTGATACCAGCCACTAGACGCTCCCTTTCTTGAAGGCCATCTGGGGAACAAGGCCATTAGAAAAGCAGATCACTACTGGATGTAAGATTTGGATTTGAAGCATCACTGAATGCCCAGATAAAGTGGCCTGTCTTGCACATTTATTGACATATTGCAATGTTTATTTACTATTGCCCCTACCTGGATTCCCAGGGCTTGACATTTTTATAAAACCAATAAAGACCATTTGAACTCACCATTAAATTGTTCCTGTAAACCAAATCCCTCCCTTGGCATCCACTCAGGACGTCTCTCATAAAGAAGTCTCTGGTGACCTCTAGGAAAGCAGAGTGAACAGGCATCTTCCAAAGATGTCTCAATGCTAAATGCTCTGTGGAAGAAGTCTTGTTCAAGCCACCAGAGGGAGTGTCATCCAGATCTCCAGGTGAAATGTTAATGTTCACTTTTTTTATAATACTTTGGTAAAACCACACTTGGAATACTGCATCCGGTTCTGGTCATCACTATACAAAAAGGATGCTGAGGTCCTAGAAAGAATGCAGAGAATAGCAACAAAGATGATTAGGGCTCTGGAGGCTAAACTGCACAATGAACAGTTAAGGGAATTAGGTATGCCTGGTCTAGCAAAGAGAAGGACTAAGGGTGACATAACAGCAGCCTTCCAAGATTTGAGGGGCTGTCACAGAGGGGAGAAGTTCAATCTATGCTCCAAAGCACCTGAAGGCAGGACAAGGAGCAACAGGTGGAAGATTACTAAAGAGAGAGCCAAGCTAGAATTAAGGACAGTGAGAACAATTGATCAGTGGAAAAGCTTCCCTTCAGAAGCTGCCGGTGGTAAGAAGAGACCGGACAGACCTTTGTCCAGAATGCTCCAAGGGCTCCTTTTTGAGTAGAGGGTTGGACCTCCAAGATCCCTCACCTCCGTCGGGCGTCCAGTTCTGTCCAGCTAAAGCCTCCTCTGAAGGAGGGCGGGGGGGGGGCGTCGGAGTGGTTGACCCAGAAGCCACGGCCGTCTCTGAAGACGGGAGGGACGCGGGGGAGCCCCAGCGGGCTTCCGAAAGGCCCGGCAGAAAGGCGGGGGCGGCTGGCTCTCCGAGCCGAGGAAAGGAGGCAGCGGGGCAGCTCGAAGAAACTTCCGAAGGCGAAGCTTTCGCCGACGGAGCCGAGCCGAGCCGCGCCGGGGAGGCGGCTGGAGGCCCGGGCCGGCCCTCCCCCTCCCCACGAGCCGGTGGGCAGGCGGGGCTGGTGGGAAGGCGCGGCGGGGAGCCTGCACGCCGTCGCTGCCCACCTTCCTTGACGCGCCGCCGCCGCCGCCGCCGCCGCCGCGCGGGCTATAAAAAGCCGGCGGGCTGGCGCAAGGCAGGCAGGCGCTCCAGGCGGCTCAACAGGCTGCCGGGCGGCGGGCGGCTGAAGGGCCGCGAGGCGGGGGATGGAGGCGGCGGCGGCGGGCAACGGCTCGGCGGCGGCGGGCGTCGGGGCCGAGGCGGGCAACCCCTTCGTGCAGCCGGGCTGGCAGGTGGCGCTGTGGGCGTCGGCCTACGCGCTGGTGGTGCTGGTGTCGGTGGTGGGCAACCTGGTGGTGATGTGGGTGGTGCTGGCCCACCGGCGGATGCGCACCGTCACCAACTACTTGCTGGTCAACCTGGCCTTCGCCGAGGCCGCCATGGCCGCCTTCAACACGCTCGTCAACTTCACCTACGCCGTGCACAACGCCTGGTACTACGGGCGGGCCTACTGCCGCTTCCAGAACTTCTTCCCGGTGGCCGCCGTCTTCGCCAGCATCTACTCCATGACCGCCATCGCCGCCGACAGGTGAGGCGCCGCCCGCTCCGCTCCTTCTGCCCCGGCCGCCCTTGGGCGAGGCTCGCTGGAGGGAGCCGGGCAAGGCGGCCGGGGCTTTGGCGCGGAAATGGATCCTGCCCGTCCAGTAGCCGAAAGTTTCGCCCTTGCCCCCCGCCCGGCCTTTGCCCCGCGCGGGACTTCGGAGAGGAGCGGCGGCGGCGGCTGAAGTCTTGGGCCGGGCAAGGAAGGGGGCCTCCGCTGCTTGGGCCTGGGCCCCTTGGGAAACCCCCCCCCCGCCTCAGTTTCCCAGTTGCGGCTCAAAATGGGCTGCTAGAAAACGGGGCGGGCCGCTCCTTCGGCGCTCCCTGCTCCGGTGCCGGAGCCTCGGCTTCGCACATCAAGCGCGCTGCAGAAGCCCGAACAATGCGGGTCTCCCGACAACCTCGGGAAGCGGCTTGGCTGAGAGGCAGAAACTTGCTCAGATCCCGGGCTGTAAGCGGTGCGTTTTCGCCTCTTGCATCAGAGCGAGCCCCCCCTTTTTTCCCCCTCTTCTTCTTCTTACTGAATTGGAGAGAAGATAAAGAGGCGCATCTAAGGCCTGTGCAGGTTTGCGCAGAAGGGCTTGTCAAACCCTGTTACAGAATTCATGCTTTCCTTCATTGGCAAAATGCCCTAAACGGGCACTCTGGCTTTACCCGAGGGGCCAAGTCCCAGAAATAAAAGAAAGCTGTATCAGCTTGGAGCTAAAGCTTCCACCTCAGTCCTGCCTGGAGCCCCAAGTGGGATCCCTGCTCCTGCTCCTTGTCCCCGTTTGAGTCTGGTTGGGCTGTGAGTCCAAATTCTCTTGTGCAGCTTGGGGAACCTTTTGGGTCCAGGCTGGTTCCCAACCAGCCTTTCGATCACTGGTAACGGTTTGGTGAGGTTTGATGGAGGCTGGGAAAGTGAGCTACCCCTCTCCTTTGCCTGGGGGGTCACCCGGGAAGAAGGCTGGTTTATTTCTGTATGAATTTGAAAATTGTCCTGCACGTCCATCATCAGAAATCCATTTAGGGTGAAACAGAAGGCAGCACTTTTGCTCCTGTCCGGATTTTATTGTCACAGGCAAGCTGGTGGCACATAACTGAGGATTTGAAAAGGCTTGGAGGCACCCTGGAGGGAGCAAACTGGGTCTCCGTAGATGGAGCCCTCCCTCCTTCATGGCTACCCCACTGACTGTGCAAATGCCTTGGTGCCCTCTGCTGCCTATGGTGGGATGAGGGGCTTGTGAATGTGCTTTTCCGGACATGAGCCAGGAAGGCAGGTGGGGACTCCCCTTGCGCCGGTGATGGCCAGCAGGGTGCGGAGATCGGCTGGTTTAATGAAAAATGTTCCCTGCCATCCTTCTCAGGGGTGGTAGTGGGGGGAGGGATTTGCTCCCTTTAGTTTGTAAACATCACTTTTGAATCTGAGGAGATCCATGCCTTTAGATTTTTTCAGGAGTAAAACTGTTTGTGGTTTTCAAAGGATTTTAACACCCCCCCACCTCCCCCGCCCCACCCCCACCATTTTTTTCAATATTTCCCCAGGAAGAGTTTCATGGAGGGATGTTTTTGTGTTCTGAAACCCAGTATCACTAGATGAAATGAAAAGCATTCATTATTGTAGAATGGTAGCAATAGAGGAAACATCCGCCCTTAGCTACCACAGCAAAACTGGAAAATGTTTTACTTCCCTCTTGACTACCTTGAAACATCTCCACCATGAAAAGCAAGGCGGTGGCTGTGGGGGGGAGGCACGGGGCTTTTCTCTAAAAAAGATGAATGTCTAGATGATTGCTTCTTGCATTTTTGAAATATGTGCTGATTTCACCTGGAACATGCTGGTACATTCCAGTTAGAAGGCTGGAGGTGGCAGGGAACTCGCTGTAGGCTTCATCCAGCACTAATTTGGATGTCAGAGCTGCAGTTTTTCATCTGTCTGGCTGTTATTGCTCTGCTGTAATGAATGCTTTTCATTTCATGCAAAGAGGGCGAGTTTCTGCCATCCGTGGACTCCCAGTGCCCAAAATTTAGAAGGCTCCCCTTCTGCATATGTTACAGGTCTTTAAGGGTTTGGAATAATGCAAAATGTATCCTTTGTTTTATTTTTATTTTCTTTTGTTGGGCATTTGCTTTTCAAACCTAAAATCCCAATCCTTAGGATTTTCAACAGCAATTTCTTTGAGTCTGGAGAATTTGAGAAGAGAAGAGTGGCTGTTCATACATCAGGTGCTGGGTCCTCATCTCTCCACAGCTAAGAAAAGCAGAGTGGACAAAGTCAAAAGCAAAATTGATTAAATAAATGGGCAAAATGCATGTATGCAATTGTAGGCCATTGAGAAGCCAATTACAAGACTGGCATTTCCTGTTGCTGAAGTGCCATTATTTAAGTGCAGAGTATTTCCTACGCATTTGAATACACACCAGCTTTCCATTCGTTCAAGTATCAGCATTTTGAACTATAGATCGGTCAGCATGATAGAAAGATGCTACACCGCCTTGGAGTAACTGCAGCAACCGAAGCTGCTTCAGCACTGGGAGAGGGAGAGGCCAGGTTAAAAACATAGCAATAAAACCAATAAGTTAATTGAAATAACAGCTGGAAAGACACGGCTCTCTAATACCCAAGCTTTGTGCTGGACAGGGCTGCAGTTGAGGGGGAGAGTAATTGCCTCAGGAGCAACACAAGGAGTATATTACTCACATTATGCAGGAAGAAACCAAATGGGATAGAAAGTACCCACTCAGTGGGGGAAAACAGCCACCGTCTATACAGTATGAAATTAATCACTGGGGATACATTTTATTCCCTCTTCCCCAAATGGCATGAAAAGGTGTACATTCCTTTGCATTCTCCAGCGATACCAGTCAGGCGAGGAATTCTAAAAAAACAGGACAGGGGAAATAAGTGAAATAAGTTGCCAAATCTGGTTACGTCTTTCATTCATCATCTCTACAGCTCCAAATCAGTTGCAAGGTGGTGATTCTAGGCTAGGTGGTTGTAAGTTGAGGACCGCCTGTATTTTTAACTTTTAATTCTTTTTTATAGGTGTGAGCCTCCTAGAGTCATTATATAAGATAACTGGCATATGTCACCATGGGGCTTCCTTCTGAGTAGACTTCGTGGGGAGGGAGTGGAAGTATGTCATCTCTCCCCTGCACACAGGCACACAAACCCATCTCTACTTTTAATTCTTCCTTTACAGCCACTTGAGCAAACAGCCTCCTGTGCAACATGAAATCATATCATGATGCTCAGTCTACCGGGCATCATAAATCTTATGAACAAATATTCTTGGTTACTTCCTTGCACAATATATTTGCAATTAATCATTTTCAACAAGGGGTTATGAATGATCCATTTAGTCACAAGTAACCCATTACATTTCTCTCTGTAAGATTCCCCGTGCTTTCTCCCCTCGGGATGTGCGATCTCTGCATGAATCTTTTGTATATAAACAATATATAAACAATGTGTAAAATTGACATTAACATATTAAAATTATTTAAAATTAAACCTTTTAAAACATAACATTTCAAAAGAATTTTTAAAAAATCAAAGATGAGCATTTAGCATTAGTTAATACAAGGGGGGGGGAGGTTCTCTTGGGGCCAGCCAGCCCCACTTTTGCATGGTCTTCTGTGCACCCCAAGCAAGAGTGCAGAGCCAGGTTTTGACACCTTTGTGGAAGGCCAGGAGATTGGGGGCTCTCCTCACCTCTGGGGAGTGGGCGTTCCACAATGTGGGGGCAGTGGCAGAGAAGGCCCTCTTCCCAGACCCATCCCCCAGTCGAAATTCTTTGACTGACGGCTCTGCCCCATGCCTTCCCCGCATGACCAGGTGGGATGGGCTAATTTGATAGGACAAAGATGATTCCATAGGTAGCCTGGCCCCATGTAGGGCTTTATAGGTGATAGCCAACACTTTGAACCAACCCCTGGGAGAATCAGAATCAGAATAGAGCGGGAAGGGACCCTTGGAGCAGGAAACCCTATACCATTTTAGATAGGTGGCTGTCCAGACTTTTCTTGAAAACCTCCAGGATGGAGCACTTCTGAAGGGAAGCTTTTCCACTGGTTAATTGTTCTCACTGTTAGGAAGTTTCTCCTAAATTCCAGGTTGCTTCTCTCCTGGATTAATTTCCATCCATTACCGTATTTTTCGGTAATGGATTTTTGTCTCCCAAAAGGGAGTCAAAATGTCTGTGCATCTTATAGACCAAATATTGGCAATGCCCCGCCCACCAGCCACCATTTTTTTGCCTCCGCATGCCCCATTTTCAGGTCTTTTTCCAGCCCATTTTGAGGTTTTCTTCAGCCCATTTTCAAGGCTTTTTTGGCCTGTTTTTGAGGGTTTTCTGGCCTGTTTTTGAGAGTTTTTTTGGTCAATTTGTTTGGAAAAAAACAGCCTGAAAAAAGCCTCAAAAATGGGCCAAAAAAGCCTTGAAAATGGGCCAAACCCCCCCCAAAAACAGGCTGGAAAAAGCCTCGGAAATCGGTTGAAAAAAGCCTTGAAAATGGGCCAAAAAAGCCTCGAAAACAGGTCAAAAAAGCCTCGAAAACAGGCTGAAAAAAGCCTCAAAAACGGGCTGGAAAAAGTCTAGCAAATGGACCAAAAAAAAAAAAAGCCTTGAAAACAGGCCGAAAAAAGCCTCGAAAATGGTCAGGACAAGAAGTACTTATCAAGGATTCAACCTAGAACTAAGCACTATTATTAGCACTATCCAAATAAGCACTGTTTTCCTGTCAATTAGAACAATTAATCAGTGGAAAAGCTTGCCTCCTGGAATTGTGGGGGGCCCCACCACCACTGGAGGTTTTCAAGAAGGTCCTGGGCAGCCATTTGTCTGGAATGACATAAGGTCTCCTGCTTGAGCAGAGGGTTGGACTAGAAGACATCCAAGGCCCCTTCCAAACCTTTTAGTCTGTTTTCTATATTCAACGTTGAATAAGTCAAATTAAGTATATTTTTTAAAATGTAATAATACTACCTAAGTAACAACAATGGTGCATTGGAAGATCTGCAAGAAATACACTTAGGCAAGAACTGGTGCAACCATCTTGCCTAAGTGCAAGACCTGGAGTTTGTTAAAATTTTGTGAGCCAGCCTAGGCTTCAAAAGTAGCTCAGGAACTGTTATCAGGAATCTTATCTATGGTCCCTGGCCAAATTGGAAGAGAGTCAGATGGATTGCCCAGAAATCAGCTCTGATTGTTCCACTAGTCAGTATATTTAGAGTGGTGCCTTGAATGAAGGGTGGAGGGAAGGCTGGCCTCATCTCTATACACAATAGATGGCTTGTGGCTGAGAAGACAGAAATAACATCTAAAACGTTGTTGATAGATCAGAGCGGCTTGCTTTGGCTGCACTGAGTGAAGAGGAAGTGTCTTGGACTGCATCTAAAACATATAGCGAATGTATATAGATCACATAATAATGTTAATAATTTATGATCTTGTGGGGCCACATTACTAGCTCTCCAGGGCTGCATGTGGCCCGTGGCCCGTGAGTTGGACATGTCTGAGTTAAAGGAAACGGCTGCAAGTGACAGGATGAAATTTAACAGAGACAACTATCGAGCTTTTTTACTTAGGAAGTCAAAATAAAAGGCAGAGATATAAGAGCAAAAGGATTGGTCAGTCTTGTCAACCTAGAATTGGATAGCCCTGAAATTGACTAACCGTCCCTGCTTAACACTTCACTGGGAAATACAATTGAAAGGACCTTTGGTCTTTCTCTAACTCGTCCAGCTTGCCAGTTCCGTTCCATTGGCCACTGCTCCTATCAGCCCCAGCCCCTCACGTCCTCTGCTCACCTAATATCCTAGGGTAATGGACCCCCATGGCTAAACCCTTTTCTCATACTTCAACTCTACCACAGCGCTTATTCTCTGGCTGTGAAAATCCTGACAGCTGCTAGATGGCATCTCACAGATATGTCTCTCAGCCGCCACCTAGTAGTCTGTAGGTTGAATAATCAACTGGTTGACCCTTATTTCAAGGAGTAAAAAATAATAAATCAGTAAGCAATAGAACGGGAAAAACTGCAGAACAAAGAGTGATTGTGCTGGTGGGCATAATTGTAGGAGGCTTTTCATGTTGGGAATGATGTTGGGTGGGACTGGACTTGTAGCCCCAAAAACGATCGGTCTCAATCAAAGCTGTATGGCAGCCCAGACACCCTCTGGGTAAGGGCACACTGGGGGTCCATGAGGTTTAGGACACATGGCTTCCTGCCAGTTGCAGATGGGAAGGGAGCAGGACAAAGCAATGGAGTGGAGATGGGCTGTGCGCATCTAGGGATTTCAACTGATAGTAGGGGATGAAGAAGCCCTGCCCTGCATCTTTAAAGAGGAGACATATGGCTGCAGGTGGATGCAAATTTCTCTCTTTATTGGTTGTTTAATAGTCTCTTGCTACATTTTAAATATCTCTCTCTCTCTCTTTTTTTTTTTTAAAGATACATGGCCATTATCCATCCTCTGCAACCAAGGCTATCAGCTGCAGCCACCAAGGTTGTCATCTGTGTTATATGGCTCTTGGCTTCGCTACTCTCATTCCCTCAAGGATACTATTCCACCACTGCAGAGCTGCCTGAGCGAGTGATATGCTTTGTTGATTGGCCGCAAAATCAGACCCAGGTCTCTGCAATAACGTGAGTTGGGCCTTGCTGTTGTCATTGCTGGAGATGGAAAGACAGTGTTGTGTGGTTCTCTTCCAAGAATGCGCTCATGATTCCAGAGGAGCCAGACTCTCGGGCTTCACCCCCTTCTGGTTTTCTGGCCTCCCTATACAGTATCTGAATGTTGCTGCCATGGGTTGGATGAGGTCTTGGCTGCATTTCCTTCATTGCAGTAAACAAGGGGATAGTCACCCTCCCATCTTCAAATACCATATTTGGCCAAGAAAATATCCCCAGGCAGTTAAACATCTACAAAACTGGGGAGTTGTTGTTTAATTACAGAGGTTTCAGTTTATTTTTCTTTTCTATTGATTGATTGATTGATTGATTAATCAAACATATAGCTGCCTGCATCATGACAACTATATTTATAATTTAGAAAGGAATTAAATAAAAACAAAGCTCAAACAATTGAGAGCTATGATGAATTGACAGTTAAAGAAGTGGGGTGGTTGTGCAAAAAGCAACACACAGTGGCTGTGCACTGTTTAGGACTGAGAGAGCTGCAGGCAAAGGACCCTTAGAGAAATCAGGCTTACCTGCCACCCTTCCACTGATCCTGGTTGGTGGCACATGGGTGCCATTTTTTCTTTCCTGAATTCAGATTTCCTAAAAACAAATAGCAGCTAGAAGAACCCAGGGATTAATTTGGTCATACTTAGAAGTTCAGGATTGTTACATGCTTCAATTATCATGAATACAAGCCGATTTGCACCATTAAACATAGAAAAATAGAAAACTGATGGCAGAAAAAGACCCAGACTGACTCTGCCCTTTGAGGGTTTTTTCTTCATTAATTGATGTATTATTTTTATATTTTATTAATTTTTATTTTTTAAAATTTTTGTTGGATGATGGACCTGTGTTTATCACAAGCAAGTTTAAACTCAGTTTCTGATGATTGACCCTCTACCTCCACTGGAAGTTGCTTCCAAACTTCCACTAATCTGTCTGTGAATTAACCCTTTTTAATATGACTTTTGTACTTCCCTCCTGACAATTTGTTAAGCTATTAAGCCGACTGGCCTACAGTTTCCAGCTTCTTCCCCAGCCCCCTTCTTTTGAATGGGTACAATATTAGCTGTTTGCCAGTCCTGGGAAACTTCACCTTTTAGAAGAGACTGATTAAACAGATCAGTTCATGGTCCTGCGAGCACGTCCAGGAGTTCCCTCAAAACTCAAATGATGGGCTGCATTACTCAGCTTGCCAGGTGAAGATAAAGGGGAGTGAGGAGGGGTTCTTCCAAGTTGGTTGTGGTTGGTGTTGGCCCTTTGAGGCAAGCCAGGTCAGGAAACAGACAGCAAGAAATACTAAAACTCTGCTTTATCGGTGAATTTGTTAATAACAGAATCTTGAAACGCTGACAGTGTTCCTTTTCCCTTTCCACTTACAGCAATGAGAGTCAGGGTAGGGCTATCTGATTCTTCTTCATCCCTTCCTGTTTTTCTGGACTAAGTTCACATTTCCCTAAAGATTGCAGCACATTTTCTTCTAACTCCCTTCTCCTGTGCAATACAGATACAGATGCGCCTGGGAGGCAAATTATTTGGCTGGAATTAAAGTTCTTGTTGGCTGCTGAACAGAATGAGCTTTGAGGAGCACATGACATAGGTGAAATATTCTGAGTGATAAGAAAGGAAAGAGGCAATAAAAGTAAAGGGGAAATCAATGAATTAAACATGCGTGAAACTTCTAGTCTTTAATCATTCCAAATGTAACATTTTCAAGTTGTAGAAGGCCACGCTATTAAATTAATTCAAGAAATGCATAGTGTCAAGTTCCAGAGAAAATATTGCTCCTCTCTGTTCTGTATGGAGCAGAAGAACATTGCATCCAGTTCTAAGCCCCACATTTGAGCAAGCAGCCCAGAGATGAGCAACCAAGCACCTTGATAAAAATTGAAATGGGGGGGAGGGAGTGGAACTGGGTATATTTAGACTGGAGAAAAGAACTCTCTTCGAGTACATGAAAGAAGTCCTACAGAAGATGGGCAGATTTGTTCAAAGTTATTCCAGAAGAAAAGATAAGTGGCAGTGGACTTACTGTACATGGGAAGGATGCAGGTTTCTATTGCACATCAGGAAAAATGTCCCAATGGTAAGAGCTGCTCAGCAATGGAACAGATGATAGACTCCCTTTTACTTGGGGACGGGGGTGGGTGGGGTGGAATTAACCAAGACTAGAATTGCTAGGATTGCTGAAGAAATGGATGCTTCTGGTGGGCAAGGTTGATCCAGGCCCAGATGATCTCCAAGGTTCCTTCTAACCCAGACAGTTTGTGATATTCAAAATCCTAGATATTACAACTGTCTTGTAGACATTTGCTATCCATTTTGATCCTTTCTTATTTTGTTCTGTTAGCGTCCTTTTCTGTTCTGGAATATACACTGCTCAAAAAAATAAAGGGAACACAAGCAGAAGACATCCGAGATCTGAATGAATGAAATAGCCTTATTAAATATTTTGTTCGTTACATATAGTAGTTTTGTGTTCCCTTTAGTTGTTTGAGCAGTGTATAAACTACTGTATGTAAAGAACAAAGTATTTAATAAGGCTATTTCATTCATTCAGATCTCGGAGGTCTTCTGCTTGTGTTCCATTTATTTTTTTGAGCAGTATACTTTTCCTGTGTGGAATGGTTTTCCTTATGAATATAAAGTAATCACAATATGAAAAATGCCAAAGAAAATAAATTGAATTTTGACATTCCACTGAAACGAGAAACCAGAGAGCAGTGAAGAACGTATTTGCATCTGGCCCTGAAAGCTTCTCACACAAGGATGCCTTAAAAGCTGGCCTGATAGAAAAAGGGAAAGAACCATAGGTAACACGAGCTCAGTGTGGCCTTATGCTTCCCGTCTCTTTAGATATGGATTAGTTGAAAGTAGGATGGTCGATCCGTGGAATGAAATCTAGTCAACTGCAGTTGGAATGTTTCTCCTGTTGAACTGTCAAGAATTCTCTGATGAGTTAAGAAGACAAATGCCACTGTGGATGGAGATCTATTTAGAGGGCTAGAAGTAGAAGAGGAACGAGGACAATCGCAGTGGAGGGATGTACTGTAAACATTGTAAAATGCGTCCAGGATGGACTTTAAGGTTTTTGAAACTTACTCAAAAACACCTTGATGTAAAGGCTTCGCAGTGATAGTGTTGAGCTCTAAATGAGGCTTGATTGTCCATGGGAGATTTGTAGAAGGTTTCAAAAGGACCAAAATGAAGGAATGTGGTTCAGTGTATTGAAGGGATGTGTGTTGGGGTCTCCCTTTGCAAATTCATGAACTTATTTGTACAGCATGTTACAGGTAGTCTTCAATTTACGATCACAAATTAGCCCAAAATTTCTGTTGCTAAGTGATGCAGTTAAGTGAATTTTTCCCCATTTTATGACCTTTCTTGCCACAGTTGTTATATGAACCACTGCATTTGTTAAGTTAGTAACATGGTTGTTAAGTGAATCCAGCTTCCCCATTGATTTTTCTTGTCAGAATGTCATATGACCCCAGGACACTGCAACCGTCATAAATATGAGTCAGCTGCCAAACATCTGAATTTTAATCATGTGACGATGGAGATGCTGCAACAGTCATAAGTCTGAGAAACAGCCCTAAGTCACTTTTTTCAGTGCCATTGTAACTTTAAATAGTCAGTAAATGAACAGTTGTAAGTCAAGGACTACCTATATTTGTACTTTCAATATTTTAAACTTTTTTCACCCTTTTTTAAAATCAGAAAGTTTTCTCAGCCTCGTGTTTAGGGACTCTTTGCCATGAGGGCGCCAAGAACATGAAAAGTGGGCAAATTGATTCCTGCAGAACAATTTGATGTGCTGCGTGACTTCACTGAGTCATATAGTTGTAAATAAAACAATTCGTTCTCCCTCATTCTTTCTAGTTACTATTGCAAAAAATATTTCCAGTATCTGGAAACTCACTTCTGGAATTTCTCAACCTCATAAAATGAAATTGCTTCCTCTTCCTCTCTATTCCCAACCTTTCTTCTGAACTCTTCCCTGCTCCCTACCAGCCCCCCCCATCATCTCTCTCTCTCTCTCTCTCTCTCTCTCTCTCTCTCTATCTATCTATCTATCTATCTATCTATCTATCTATCAGATCTTCAGCTCAGGAAGACTCCCTTGCATTAACAAGAGAGGGAGCTTTGACCAAAGCAGGAACTTTGAAAAGGTTGAGAGCCAGAAAAGGAAAACCGCAGAACAGTGTGGTAAAAATGCATTTGCCAAAATGCATTACGCAGGCGTGTAGCGCCTGTGTAATGCATTTGAAATGCAGATGAAGCAGCTGCAGAGCAATGCATTTCTCTACCCATCCTGATCAATGACAATACAGTGCAGACAAAATCTGTACAGCCAGTTTTCCTTTTGGGGAACGTCAGTTCATGACACCTGCAACAAGGACTTTGTTTAGCTATAACTCAATACTTGCAGGTGACACAGGTGCGTGTGGCAATATAGCTGGGAACAAAATCCTCTGTAACATTTTTATCCAATGCTGGCTGCCCAGGGGGCACACAGCTGCTGCAGCCACATGTCAACTTTTAACCATCATACCAGGATACCACCTGTAGCTGAGAGCCTCCTGGCTCCCTGCAGAAGAAGCTTCACCAGTGGCACTGCAGGGCGTTTGGGAGCCCCCCACCCCACCCCCGGGTGGTTTCCCCTTGTGCTCCCCCAGCCTCCAAAGGAGAGACTGGCTTAATGCTCCTTATTGATTCCTCTGTGGAGAAGCGATGGGTGGGGGTTCCCAATGGAAGGAAGGAACTCTGCAATTATCAGCATATAAATATTTATATCATGCATGCAAGAGACTCCTACCTGCCTTTTAGTCTTAATGATCATCTTCCCGGGGTTCCCCAACCTGGCAGCCTCCATATATGCTCGATTTTCAAGCCCCAGAATTGTGAAGGCCTCACTGGAGGCTCCCGATCCTTTGCCCCAGTTCAACAGAATGTAGGCCTTGCACCTGAAGCTTTTCTTATGGACCCCCGTTGGGTTGGTTTCTAGTGTTTCACTGTTTTTTATTCCTTGTTTCTGTTTCTTATTCTATGTTTTAAAATGCTTTTATTTGTGATGTTAGATGAGAGTCAGGCAATACAAACTCAATGAATAATTAAATAAATATTATGTAATACATTATTTCTGGGTTCTAGAGAAGTTGCTGAAAATTGCCTTAATGAAATAAAGAATGTTGTGAGTTTGGGTGCATAAAAATAGAGAGAGGATGACCATGAATGATTTCCATTGCTACAGACTCCAGAACTGCAAATAATCTGTATAAGTGGCAACTGCCTAAATTTCACTTAAATAGAAGGAAAAATCTATAGTACCTCCAGAGATTGTAGGTTATCCATCTAAGAAGAGGCTGGGCAGCCACTTCTAATTAGTTTTCCTACATATTTGCAGTGAGTTGGATTAGATTATCTTTGCAGCCTCTTCCAGAATGACAATTAGATTATTCTGTTGTTTCTTTTATTTGGTTCTGTATTTCTGTCATCACTTCTCAGTGATGGAAAGGGAGGCGCCTTATGCGTTCTACAAAACCGTCTCCTTCTTTCCTGGTTGAATCTTGGTCTCCAAGTAATGGAGCGACATTCAGACCAAACACCATTCAGGTCACTTCCAGTCCTCCACCTCCCAAGTCCAGGGCTCCAAAGGCCAGAATAACTTCTCATCAAGCGGGTTGGCCCTGGATAAACTTCTGGCATCTTTTGTTGCTGCAGCAAATTCAAAAATGAACCTGGTGTGATGTCAGTGTTTATTCTTGATGCGATATCTCATATTTCAGCATTTGCCATATTGAAAGAGCAAAAAGTAGCCTAAGTGACACCAGGTATATATTTTGTACATATGTATAAACACTGCACATCCGATTTTATATATGTTTATAAATTTAATACAATTTCTTTAAAAAAAAAAAAGAACTGAGGTTTTGGGCCTATGTTGCTCAGTTCACTCATCAAATCATCCAGCCTCTCGGGGGGCCGTCTGAGAGTCAGCCTTCGGAGGAAATGCATGTCTTTGGGGTGAGACCCACCTACGGGGGCCAGACAGGGGGCGAGTGAGAAGGGCTTGGCTTTGAAGGAGACCTTGGGGCAGGTGGAAGGGAGAGCACTGGCGGGGGGGATGCTGCTGCTCCTTGCCACACACTCTGAAGCAGGGGCCAGCAGCCGAGGTAGTTCTTCTATCAAAAGGATTTTGTTCACTCCACACACAACTTCATTTGATCGCTGACTTTTGGGGGAGGGGGGGTAAGATAAGGAATTTTCTTTCTAATTCAGTGATCCTGTGATCAGGTGGGCTGCAGGTCCTTGTGGGGAAAATCTCTCTGGGTGGCTGTTAAGAGTTGATGGTATATAGTCTGGGGGGGGGGGCTAAAAGCATTAGATGTTGTCCAGTACATCCATCATCAGCCTGAAGGTTGTGTCCCTTCCTCTAAGATGCAGCCCAAGTTACACCATCATACATTTTATATCAGGAATAAAATGAAGAGGATGTTCAGACTTGTGTCTCGTTTATTCCAGGTATCAGGTCTGCATGACTATCCTAGCCTACGTCTTGCCACTCATCGTAATAGGCTATGCCTATATTATGGTGAGCATTACCCTATGGGCTAGTGCAATACCAGGGGACTCTTCGGACCGCTACCATGAACAAGTGTCTGCCAAGCGCAAGGTAAGCTCTATCAGAAGAAACTCAACCAGAAAGGAAAGCCCTGTCAAAGAATGCAGTTCGGGTCAGGGTCCCAATGTTAACTGAATAGACAGAGGGAGAAACAGGTAGCCAGGATCTCTTGCCAACCACTTGGTGTCATTTGAGATTGGTTTATTTCAAGAGGATGGGAAAGCCCTCTAGATAGCACTGCTAAGGCCAGAGAGCAGCTTCTCCATTCCCTTTCTACAGTATGTCATTGAGTTACGTATGTTAAAAGTTAGCATATTCTAGCTCCTATTTTGTAACTTAGCTTGTTCTCCCAAATAAACACGATGCCATGAATGCACCGAAGGAGCTCTTGTCTTCTTTGAAGAGGGAAAGGAAGAACCAAAGGGATCATAACCCTGACAGTGGACATCTTGGGCATCTTCCCACAGCTGGCCTGCTGTTTCCATTAGGGGAAGGCAAAAGCCAGGCCCCCAAAGCAGCTATGGGTGTTTCTCTCCCTGCCTGGCAATGCTGCTCTGTGGGCCCCAGGGGCCTCCGCTTCTCTCCTCAGCTGGACTCCATGCTTAAACTTGGTGGCTCTCCTCCTCATCTGGCAGGTTGTCAAGATGATGATCATGGTCGTTTGCACCTTCGCCATTTGCTGGCTGCCTTACCACATCTACTTCCTCCTACAACTTTTCAACGGTGAAATATTCTCAGAAAAGTACATCCAGCAGGTCTACTTGGCGATCATGTGGCTGGCCATGAGCTCCACTATGTACAACCCAATCATTTATTGTTGTCTCAATGACAGGTAAGACCTTCTTCTTATGGCAACTTCTGTTGAATAACAGATCTAAATCGGGTCTGCGCTCATGTCAGTTGGGGCCAAATGTAGTCATTTCATTCATGCCAAAGCTTTGCATCTTGAATGGGCTGGTTTTAAAATATTTGGAAGTCAGTAAGCCAACCAAGCAGAGTCTTTTGAACCTTGGCCTCGAAACACAACGAATTTTTGCAAATCGTTTCTCTCCAAAAGATGCAATTTTTTACCTTCCACACTAGCCCTTGATTACCCAGCACCCAGAGGGCTTGGCTACTTCTCTAAAGAAAAAGGGCTCGCCTAAGATTAGAAAAAATGGTGTAAAAGAGTTGGATTGTCTAGTCCTTCTCTGAAGAAGCCATGCTTTTGTTGTTTTTCAACACAACAAACTGCGTGAGTTGAAACAGGGAGGCAGGATTGCGTGAACGAAGCAGCTCCACATCCAGATTCCTTCTTGGCACCCCACCTTCACGGAATTGTAGCTCTTGCAGCCACACAACATGTGAATTTGTCAAAGGGGTTTTAGTTTCAATGTTTTAAATTTTTGGGCCACAGTTATTTAATTCTTTTAATAATTTTAAATTTTGTATTGATATGTGTTTTAGTCTGGCTGTGCACCGCCCTGAGTCCACTTGGAGAAGGGCGGGATATAAATTGAATAAAATAAAATAAATAAATAAATAAATTTAAAGTGTGAGGAGGGCTGTCGGGAGAGAGGCTGCCTACCAGATGCCTCAAAGTCTGATGCCGCATTGGGGGAACATTTCCTTTTGTTTGTTTGTTTTACCCAGGATACAGAGTACATCCTGTAAGTAAATTACAGTAAAAACATACAAATTAACATAGTTTATGCAAAATGCACTCTGTTTTTAACAGCCCAGAGAATCCAGCTCTTCTTAGCATGGAATGAATGTTAGATATTAATACAGAAGAACTTGAACTATTTCAGCCCCCCAGGGTCATGAGAAGCGCAGCCTTTCCTGCGAGGAAGGGAAACCCAGCCGGTCCTGGAAGCCGAGTGGAGGCTTGAGGGCATCCGAGGTGGCTTCGGCAGCCACCAGGCAGGCTCTCCTCACGCCGTTGATATGCTCTGTCTTTTCAGGTTCCGGGTGGGCTTCAAGCTGGCTTTCCAGTGGTGCCCGTTCATCAATGCCAGCGAATACGAAGGACTGGAAATGAAGTCAGCGAGGTACCTGCAGGTCCAGAACAGCATCTACAAGACCAGCCGGATGGAGACAACGGTCTCTTCCGTCATTGGCAACCCGGAGGAAGGACCGGATGACGGCAGCAAACCCAGGCAGCCCTCTGTTGACCTGACCTCCAATGGCTCTTCCCGCAGTGACACAAAAACCACCTCGGAGAGCCTGAGCTTCTATTCCAATACGCTTCCCTGAGCAAATTCATGATTTAGCCACACCGTAACACCATTTCCATCCATCTAATGAAGCCCCCACCCCCAACAAACGGGCCCTTCCTGTGGCTGCCCAGTGGGCTTTCCTTCTCCTTCCAAGTGGTTCCGTCCGATGTAGCTTTTCTCCACAGATCCCGTGCCTTCCTTCCGCCCGGTACCTTCCCTCCTCCCTCTCTCCAGGATCTCTAGGCAGGGGTCATCTGGTCATCTCCTCTCTATCAAGCTGCCATTGTGGAAGCAGCTAATATGAATGAAACATGTTTGAGGTCTTTTGGAGGGGCGTAAATGAAATGTGTACGAAGTTGGAGGGTTTTTTTGTTTTTTGTTTTTTTTTTTTAATTTGATTTATATTCCGCCCTTCTCCGGAGACTCAGGGCGGCTTACAATGCGTTAAGCATGGAGTTTAAACATTCTTCTTGGAACTCAATTCAAAATCCATTTCTACAGCAGAACATTTGAATTTATAATATTTTTAATAGTATTTTGTTCCATTAGTGGACTTCCAGTTACTTTCCTTGAGTAACTGGTATACTTCCAGGATCACTTTTCTTCCATCCATTCATCACTGTTTTTTACCAGGGTTGGAGAGAAGCCCTTCACCACTTCTAGTGAAGTGAATTAATTCTGTTTCAGGATCTCTGCCTTTACCATAAGATATGGTTCAAGGCTACGTTCCACATTTCTTAGGGCTTAGCCCCCCTCAATGAAAACATTAGAATCATTCAATGTAGAAAATCACAGGAAGAAAGGTTCGACTCTTATGTTTTCTATTAGCAAGATTTTTTTCTTCTTTCATAGGAAAAGATTAACCCAGGCATAGCAGCCCTACAGCCATCCACCCAAAGCATCATCTGGGATGTTCCACAATCTCCAACAGGATTGTGGAAATTAGCCACGACATGTTTGAATCTTCCTTGAAATTCCATGACTAGCAAAGCAGAGGGGAGGGGAGGGGAGGGGAGGGGAAGGCTGCCGCCTGTCTACCTGCAAGCATCAGGGCTCATGCCTTCTTGCAACAAGCACGGCTTGAGCAGCTGGCAAAGGACCAAAATGAATGTGTGATTGTAATGCAGGGCCTGTTTTGGCACCAAGCTCGTGTGACAGAGATGAATAGATGCTGGCTCTAATAAGATGGAACCAAATAGCATTTTAGAAAAATGATGTGGTAATAAAAATGGGATAAAATAATTTCACAGGATAGAATCAGTTTTGGGTGAAAATAGAGCAGGCACGTTTCAGCATGAGCCTTATACTGTATCACAAGGGTTCTCAGGCAAGCAATCTCTTCCAGTTATGGAGAAATTTTGAGGCTACAGGAGAGACCCATAAGTCTCTCACTACGGCCGGAGTGCTGCATCAGCTCTTGCTGACAAAAGTGGTAATAGCACAATATTAGCTCTGTTACATAGAAGATGAAGACTTGCCCAAACCAGTATGAAAACTCTTCTCTAATGAGATTACAAACAAGAGTCAGTGGTTCAGTTACCTGCTATCTAACTTTGAACATATGTGTGTCTGCATCCACAAGAGTTTATAACAAAACTCCTGTGTGGCAGAATATTGTTCATTGTGTACTATGTTATGCAACCACACAGTAGCTAGGAGGTATTTGCTGTTTGTCCTAGAAAATGGTACAGCCCAGTTTTCCACAGACACAAAGCTGAGCACAATAGTTGTCCAAAAACTCCTACAGTATTTCCACAAATGGCAAAAGATAAACATCACAGAACATTACTTTGCCCATTACATTTGCATCAAGGTCCTCTTGCAAATACGCGATAAAGAAGAAAGCCCAAACCATAACACAGGCCAGAGACTTGCTGACGTCCCTGGGCAGAGCTGGGCTGTGTATCCATTTCCTGTGTTTCTTGATCTCCCAGCAACTTTTGAGAGTATTGTTTACACAGTCCTTCCAGATGGGCTGCAGGTCTTGGAAGAGGGTGCCACCATGTTGCATTGGTTATCCTACTGTCTCCTTGAGTGATTTCAATTGGGGTTCAGTGATGAGACATTTGTGAGGTGCCTCAGGCCTTGAGGCTTTTCATCCTTCTAGGTGAATCTGCTGGATGAGATTATTCATGAGCATGGGATCTGGTATCATCAGGATGATTATGATACATCTCAACTGTGGGCTATTCAAGTTGAAGCCTCCAGACACATCCCAACGTCTCGAAGCTGCATAGGTCTTGATGGTGAAGAGAAGTTCAGGCTCAATCCTGACAAGACTGAGTGATTATTAATTCTTGGGCTTTTCATTTGAAGTCTTGGAAAAGGCTGTACTTCCCCATTTCAGACTGATGCACAACTTGGTGTCTTCTCCAATGCACTCTGCCTGGGGCTGCCCTTGAAGATCAGCCACTGGTCCAGAACATGTGAAGTGCATGGAACACCACTGTTCTGTGAGCTGTGCTGATTGCCGGTGGGCTTCCGGGCTCAGTTTAAGATGCTGGTTACAAGCCATTCATGGCATAAGGCCTGGTTATTTATAACAACCTATCTTTCTGCCCACTCAGTAAAATTTGGCAGAGAGTACATTCAAGGTCCCTTTGGTTAAGCAATGTCATTTGTTGGGGCCCTGAAATGTGTCTTTTCTATCTGAGCACCTGCCCTCTGGAATAATATCCCCCTACAGATTGATAAGACTCCCACCCTATTCATGCTCCAGAAACCTTTCAGAACCTGATTGTTCCCCCAGGACGGGGTGGCTGCTGAAGCCCACCTTGTAAGCTGTTTTGTTGTTTTTTTCACGTGGTTTCTGTTCTCTTCTGGGTGTCTGTGATCTGTTTCTCCATTTCTATTGTGCTTGCTTCTAAAGGGTACACTGCCCAGAGTCATTTATAGTTGGTGGACTCATTAATAAACAAACAAACAAACAAAGCAAGCTGTCAGGCAAGCAATTGACAGCCATTAATGACCAGTCACAGGATATTTGGACTGCTGCATGACAGAATGTAAGAAGTTCCCTGTTGGGTCAAAGCCAACCGCTTCTCAACAGTTCCTCCGAAGGAGGGAAGGTAGCGTCCCCTGTTCTTCCCCACAGCTGTTGTTTTGCCTGCTGGTGTACCAGTCCCCATCAACCCCAAAGAATTGGTCCACAGAAGCATGGGCACCCTTAAGCAAAATAGACCTTGCCTATATGAATGGGCCAGCAGCAAATCAGACATGATCATCATGGCGCTTTTTATACTGCTGTGAAACAATTTAGGCAGGGAGGAATGAAGCAATGCAATTGTGTCTCTGAACAAGACTGAAAAACAGAGGATTTTTGAGGACAGAGACAATGTGCTGTTTGCCGTATATGTAATTTCTTTCTTGTGTACATTGTGCAGGTCTGGGGAGCACTTCATATGTGCTATATATTTTTTACTTAAACGTGCCGCAATGTAGTCATGTTCAAAATTGTACCTTTTGCTGTGAAATGAAAAATCTAACGAGAAAGGTTACCTGTATCCTGTCCTAGTTTTGGATGCTACAATTGTTTGTGAAATGTTGACGAGCCAAAATAAACTATCCCCATCAGAGCAGTTCACCTACTCAAGTGCATTATATTTTGTGAGTCAAATCCTTATAAGTGAGGTTTTCTTGAGTTTTGGGTGCTCTAATGTATGGAATAATAACAGAAATCTCTTTAAGAAGAATTTCAAAGAGATATCTTGCCAGTAAAAATTAGAGTAATATTGTAATAGAGATTTTAATGGAACGTTTGCCCAAGAATACCGAATAAAATTTTGATCCTAGAAAAACTGTTTACAAAGAAATAAAATCTATATTGCTTTCCAGCTAGAGAAAACAAGCAGATGAGTATAAAATGCAGATAGTTCAGCATGAAAGTGGCTGATCCTTCACCTAAGGGATGCCCAAGCACCTCTCTTTAAAATACTATAATGATAAATAACTATTCTAAGGGGGAAAATCTTCACTTCACAGGATTGCCTTTCTAGATTGAGATAATCAGACAAGTCCCCCATTACCCAGCTAAGAGGTAGAGGCCATCAGAAAATGCAGATGTCCCAGGCTTTGTTAGGCTACATCTCAGCTGGGAAGGGATGCCGCAGGGCTGGATCCAAGGCTGGCCAGCTGGAGGCCTCCAACTTTCTCTTCCCAAAATGCTCCAGGTCTTCATAAACCTGGTAGTTAGGTAGTCCTGCACAACCAGATGTCAGTTGCTTCTCAAGGATATGCTGAACACTTCTTTTGGTTTTGTTTCAATAAAAAATAGCTATTCTGTCACTTCTTCCTTACTAAATTCAACAGAATAATTTGATTCCGTTTCTTTTCATGGGTGCTGTTTCCTTTGTCCTGATTTAGTTGCATTGTTGATCCTAGAAGGGATAGTACAACTCTATAGTACACTGGTGAGTTCTGGTCACCATGATACAAAAAAAGATGCTGAGACTGTAGAAGGAGTGCAGAGAAGAGCAAGAAAGATAATGATGGGTCTGGAGGCCAAACCATATGAGGAACAGTTAAGGGAATTAGGTATGTCATGTCTAATGAAGGGAAGGATTAAGGGGTGACATGATAGCTGTCTTCCAATGCTTGAGGGGATGTCACAGAGAAGAGGAGGTTGACTTATTCTCTAAGGCACCTGAGGGCAGGACAAGAAGTAATGGGTGGAAGCTCATTAAAGACAGATCCAACCCAGAAGTAAGAAGGGATTTTCTGACCGTGAGAACAATTAACAAATGGAACAGATCACCTTCCAGAGATCAAACCTCCATCATTGGAGGTTTCCAAGAAAAAAATGGACAACCATTTGTCCAGGATGGAATAAATTCTCCTGTCCTTATTCCAGCGGGATAGTGACAGGAGCAGTTGGACTAGAAGATCTCTGAGGTCCCTTCCAGCCCTATGATTCTATAATTCTAGTCGACCAGAGCGGATATAAAAGACTGTTGCAAAAATGTAGGTTGGATCAAAAGATCAGATTGAAGGGATGCATCACTAGAGAGCAAATATGGTCCAATGAAAGCAAGAACTAAGATTCCTCCACTATTCCTGTACATAGGTCAACCAGATATTTTGGATGCAATAAGTCCACAAGAAACTCCCAAATGGTTTGAGCAGCTTAAGAAATGCTCAATAGAAAACCAACCTACTTTGACAAGCCCTTAACACCGAGGAATATTCTGTCCAGAGCACCCATCCGTAGCTCTAAGGGGGAAAGCTGGTTGATAAACTAAGCCATCTTTAGGGAAGGGAGGGCACAGGCTCAGAAGCCATGGCTTCTCAGGCTGGGCCATTCTCCTTCCTTCCCTTTTCAGGTGAATAAAAAGCCGCTGAGTCCTGGCAATCTGCTCCACTTAGTCCATCCATCACCTTCCCACTCTCCTGCCTCAGAGCCCCTTCGCCAAGGCAGGAGGAGCAGGGGGCTCCTGCTGCTTCTACTGCAAGAGGTTTTTGGGGCTGGAGCAAGGGTCCAGAGAGATGCTGCTGGCTGCTGAGGCACCCCCACCCCACCCCACCCACCCCCACTGCTGCGTTGCACGTAACCCAGCCAATGAAGAGTTCTGCCCAAGTGATTTTCTGGCAGGTTTGTGGCCTCCTGAAACTTCCTGCAATGATAATTGGACAGAGGCTGCAGCACTTTGATAAATGCTGCGTTTCATCATTCTTCGATTTCTTTCTTTTTGTTAAATTGGCAACCACTTTTTATAGCATCATATGCGCTGTTGCTTTATAAAATTTGTTAGCTTAAAGATTTCTGTCATTATTTCACTAGATCAGCCTCTTCTCTTAGTAGGAAGAAATTGCAGTATTTATTTCTGCTTACAAATAAGAAGGGATTAGTTCCAGTTTACAATGCAGCATGCCTACATCTAAAAGTAATGACATTAAATATGTAAAAATTCAGTGAGTAATTTGTCAACATTTTAGCTTAATTGGAGAAAAGAGAAGAGAAAAGAGAGAAACCAGGCATTGTATTAATAATTCAGCCCTGCCAGGCTGCGATAATGAAGCGAAGAGGGCAGCAGGGAGCCCTTAAGGGCAACGTCCATCCAAACAACCCTCATTTGCTTCCTTTCCAAAGCATATCTGAGTCCTCGGCTTTGTTGCAGGAGTCCAAATTTCAAAGCCTAAATTCTGGTCTGAAATATGAAGAGAAGATGGAGGGGGATTCTCTCAATAGTTACAGGGCTGTGAAGACTGCGTTTTTTGCCTAATGATAGGTTGGGTCTGTAAACATAGTTAAAAGAATTATAACAATCATAATAAAAATATAATAGTCTGGTTGTGAGTTTCAATATAGTGAAGAATGCTAACATCAATGTAACAATGTGATGACAGTTCTACACAAGACAATTCAAGTTGCAAAGCAGGCAGTAAAATGACATCCTACTTTCTAAAAATGAAAGACAGGGAGACATACTATTAAAACAGAATATCAGCAAGTAGTCCAAATCGGCAAAGATGAAGTCAGAAAAGCTAAGACTAAGAAAGAACTAGGAACAGATATCAAAAATAATTTTTAAAAGTTTCTTTCAACATGTAAGAAATAAGAAAGTCAAGAAAACAATTGGTCCACTAATGGAAGAAGATGGCAACGAGGTGATGGGCAGCAGGGAGAAAGCAGGACTGCTTACGGTAATTCATTCTTTTCATCTGTCTTGACACAAAAGGAAAAAAAACAGTCCCACCTATCAAAAGCAGTACTGTAGAAGACAGATTAGGAAGGCAAGTCAAAATAGGCAAAATGAGAAGACAGATGCTCAGAACAAATATGTGTGTGTGTGTTTACATATTGTCCCAACTTATCACCATGTCTTTTGCTCAGCTTTCTGGATTACCTCTTAAGTCACTTTGCTCATATTATTTCAAGATTGTTTCATTTGCACAGTCCCTCCTGTCCTTCCGGATGGATGGCAAATTCTCATTAATACTAATGAAGGCTCTAACTTGGGGGAGCTGTTGGAGAATTTATTACTTATCCTACAACACACAGACAGACAAATAGACAGACAGACAGACATCAAAAGGTACTGTCCTAATAGAATAGAATAGAATAGATAGAATAGAATAGAATAGAATAGAATAGAATAGATAGAATAGAATAGAATAGAATAGAATAGAATAGAATAGAATAGAATTTTTTATTGGCAAAGTGTGATTGGACACACAAGAAATTTATCTTTGGTGCATATGCTCTCAGTGTACATAAAAGAAAAGATACGTTCATCAAGAATCATAAGGTACAACACTTAATGATAGTCATAGGAAACAAATAAGCAATCAGGAAACAATATCAACATAAATCGTAACGATACAAGCAACACAATTAACAGTCATACAGTCATAAGTGGAAGATGGGGGCCAATTGGTCAGCACAGACTTTTAAGAGAGAAGGAGTTATCTTGTCTGGGCCTGGAGCTTTTCCTGGCTTTTGTTTGTGAAATAGGTCTTGCACTTCCTTTTCTGTAATCACTAGGGGGTGGGAACCCAATGGGATGGGGTCAGTTGTAGGAGGCTTGGCTGTTGTTGGTGTGTCTGAGATGGGGGTTGTGAAGATAGGTGGCTGTAGTTTCCTTTCAAATCTGCAGTAAAACATGCTCAGGTCATCTGCCAATTGTACAAGCTTGTTCCCATATTTAGAAGACAATATTGTTTAAGGAAGCCAAATAAGATAACAGGCATGACCAGAATACAGACAAAGAAAGCAGGGAAGTCAACATTGTGCTTATAAAGATGCAGATGAATTCCCACCCCTTTTTTGACCAAGCAGAGTGGGTGTCCCTATGCCATTCTGGGCAAATGGTTTTCCAGTCTCTTCTTGAAAATCTTCAATGATGGAGTACCTGCAACTTCCAGATTTAAGCTGATTAATTGTTCTTAATTTAACACTGACTGGAAATTTCTCCTTAGTTCTAGGTTGGATCACTCTTTGATGATGACATCAAATAAATACTGGTAGACATAGAATAACAAAGTTGGAAGGGGCCTTGGAGGTCATCTATTCTAGCCCCCTGCTCAAGCAGGAGAGTCTATACCATTTCAGGCAAATGGTTGTCCAATCTCTCTTTAAAATCCACAGTGATGGAGCACCCACAACCTCTGAAGGCAAGCTATTCCACTGCTTGATTGTTCTCACGTTAGGAAATTTCTTCTTAATTCTAGGGTGCTTCTCTTCTTGATTAGTTTCCATCCATTGGTTCTTGTCTTCCCTTACAGTGTTTTGAAAAATAGTTTGCACCCCTCATCAGTGTGGCAGGCCCTCAAATACTGGAATACTGCTATCATATCTCCCCTAATCTTTCTTTTCAGTAGACTAGACATACCCAATTCCCGCAACCATACTTCATATGTTTTAGCCTCCAGTCCCCTAATCATCTTTGTTGCTCTTCTCTGCATTCTTTCCAGAGTCTTCCAGCCATTACTTCTTGTCCTGCCCTCAGGTGTGTTAGAGAATAGGTCAACACCTTATTCTCTGTGACAGCCTCTCAAACATTGGAAGATTGCTATCATGTCACTTTTAGACTTTCTCTTTGTGCAATTAGACATATCTAATTCCCACGAACGTTCATCGTAT